TTTTTTTTGTCTTTTTGAGACAGGGTCTCCCCATGCAGTTCAGGCGGCCCTTGAGCTCACTTTGTAGCCCAGGCTGGTCTCGAACTCGAAACGATCCCCCTGCCTCAGCCTCCTGAGTGCTGGGATTACAGGCGTGAGCCACCATGCCCAGCATGGGACACATTTATACTGTTAAAAAGTACTCATTGCTTACCTGAAAATCAGATTGAACCAAACATCCTGTTTTTATTTGCGAACTCTGAGAACCCTGGGGCTGGGTGGGAGGTAACGCAGCATCTTTTTTTTTTGAGACAGGGTCTTGCTATGTAGTGCCTTAGCCTCCTGAGAGCTTGGATTACAGGCATGTGCCAACAAGTCTGGCAGCTTATGTTTTTCTTTCTTTTTTCCTTTTTGAGACAGGGTCTCGCTATGAAGTTCAGGCTGGACTTGAGCTCACTTTGTAGCCCAGGCTGGCCTTGAACTCACAGTGATCCTCCTGCCTCAGCCTCTCCAGTGCTGGGTGAGAATAGCATTTCCCTTATATTTTTAAACCATTGTAACTCCTTAGAGATGTGAAGTATTTGTAGATGAGATAATATACAAAAATGAACTCAAAATAACTGAGAAAATTAAATGAAAGAGTGAAAACTGTAGAACTCTCAGAAGACACAGAACAAAAGTTTCATGGCATTCCAAAAGCGTAGTCACGAAAAGAAAAAAGAGACAAATTGGACTTCATGAAAATTAAACAATTTGTTTCAAGACAAAGTATGCACTAGAGGTGCAGCTCAGTGATGACATACCTGACTAGCATGGGTGAGACCATGAGTTCAGTCTCCAGCACTGGGGGGAAAATGACATTATCAACAGAGTAAAAAGGTAACCACAGAATAGGTAAAAATACTTTCAAATCATACATCTAATATGGGGCTGATACTCAGAATATAGGGAATTCCTTAAATGCAACAACAAATAACCTTTCTCAAAAATAGAAAAGGATTTAGCCAGGCATGGTGGCACACGCCTGTAATCCCAGCACTTGGGAGGCTGAGGCAGGAGGATCATTGTGAGTTTGAGACCAGCCTGGGCTGCAAAGTGAAC